TGATTTTTTGAAAATTTCACGCACAGTATGTTACATACAATGCAAGTTGTAGGACTAATGAATATATACGCTTTTTCATAGATTAGTCAAAGTGACAATTGAAAGCTGAATATGATTTTTTCGACTAGGCTATATTAGGTGGCAGTTACAGTTATAAGGCTGTGTACTTGAGTAAGATACGGTAGCCTGGGTCAAGTCAAAAAGAGAGAAACCTTCAGCGGAGCCGCTTCATTATATTCGGTTTAAAGGTTCAAAATCGTCACTATTGACATTCGCAAGATCTTAAAAAAAACTTTGAATTAAAATTATAATTGATTCGTAGAGAAGCTAGACTTAAACAAGTAAGAAAGTACTAAGTTTGGGTGCAACCAAACATTTTATACTCTATATTTTATTATTCGCGTCGTGCTGTATGGTGCAGAGACATGGCCGATGACAACATCTGTTGAGTCGACGTTGCGAGTTTTCGAGAAAAAGGTTCCACGAATATCGCATTCGATGGAACGATGAGCTGTATGAGATATACGACGACATTGACAAAGTTCAACGCATTACCCGCAGAGGAAAGCAAAGGAAAGGGAAGACCTCCACTCCGTTGGAAAGATTAGGTGGAAAAGGACTTGATTTCTTTGGAATTTTCAATTGGTGCCATGTTGCGAAAAGAAGAAACGTCTGATGAGTAGTTGTTAACTCAGCTATGATCGTGTAAGCGGTGACTAACTGACTACACCAGTAAAGAAGAGAAGATCTTTCAAAAATCAAAGGCATGGAAATATCATAAGAAGCAATACGTCAACCTGAAGTAATGCAAAAGCGGTCCCAGGGTGGGCGACGGTTCCTTAGAGAGGGGGCTTTTAGTGACCTGCAAGTGGCACAGTAGATAGGTCCGATGAGGGCGTCATACAGAGAATTGGAAGTTATAGTAATTAGTTATAGGTTATAATATACATATGTAATTAAGCAAATTCCACATAATATTAACACCCCACACTAATAAAATATTACCTGCGTTTCATTAAAGTACCTCATTATAATCACTAATCCTATGGAATAAAGTTAGCCGGATACTCGAAAGTCATGACATGAAGGCTAGGTCAAGTTTTCATCCAATTTTAAATAAAAAAATGCACAGTTATGAGTAAAACATGCTATGTAATTTTCATTGAGATAACTCACACGTAGGTCGATTTGGTTGATATCGGTAGGTCAGATCCCGAAATTGTGTGCGGTATTTGGATTTAATTTTCGCTAGTGCTGCTGGGTCATATCTTACCGAGAGCGCGTATTTTCATTCAACCAAATTCATTAACTACAAAAGAGAGTATGCCGGTTATCACTAGAAATCATCTTTTAATCACTTTTAAGACTTATAGATCTCCAATGTACTCGAGAATATTTTCCTTAGATCAGATATAAAGATTTTAAAATTGTAGCCCACAGGCTTGCAATTTTGATAGAACGAGAAGATTTTCGAGGCTTTTTGATTCGATATAACGATACATTTACATTCTATCCGTATTATTTTGAAAAATTTGAAGTTTTTGAAATAAAATTTTCAAAATAATTAAAACGCCATTTACATAATATATTCTGTGGGCAATCGGATTACCTTGACGCTCAATTCACACACTTCGAAACACAATGTTGGCACACCTGGACGGCTAAACAATCACAGCTCCTTTGTGCACTCGACATTTGTGATGCCTTTACCAGCACAAAAATCTAGCCGTAAACTTCGCACTCGACAGGAGTAAAGTCGCAACAAAAATCCCGTTATTGGCGCCCAAACACATCAAGCCGTTGGGAGCTGCCGCGCTGACAGGTTATAGGTGATTTCTTCAGTCAAGTTCTTACACACAGCTTTGCAGTGAAAGACAACGAGAGTGAGTGGTGGAATTAATAAGTGGCATAGAATCAACTAACATATCTCTTTAATGCATTGTGCTTTCTTATGCCTGACATGCATTGTGTGCTCGCTTTTATTTGCTTGGATTATTGATAGCGACATGTTTGCTCTGCCATGTTTGACAAGCTTGATATGTATGTTTGTGTAGGTGTGAATTAGGTGTAAAGAATTGATTTGAATTTCTTTGCTCGCATTCAATGAATAATTCGATTTGGAATAAAATGTCGTCTAGCCGAACGATTGTGCTATTCTGATGTTGGACGGCAAGATTGAAGTTTGCTCTGGGAATTCAACCAAATTCTATCAAAAATAAATTGAATATAAAGCTGAATAGAATGCGAATTGTAAATGAAATAGGTAAATAAATTATTTATAGATATACATTTTTAAGAAAAAACAAAAAATATTCTTCATACCTTAGGGTTTAAATTTAATAATTGAATACTTTGGGCAATTGTTATTACAGTTTGCCTGAAATATATTCAAAATGTGTACCCGATTCTATTTGAGTACAATTTATTGTACCTCCTGGAAAAAGCAGAGAGTGACCTTGTTACAGAAGACAATTAATCCAGTCTCTAACTCATATCGACTGCTCTGTATATTGGACACGATTGGCAAGATATTAGAGCGGATAAAATGTAAACGATTAGAGCTGCATACAGAAAAGGAAGAAAAGAAAGATCTGTCCGATTAAGAAGCTTGCTGGCATAGCTAACAAAGCAAAAGAAGGTAACAAATGGCTGTATGGTACAAAGGTATAGTGCTCAGCAGTCACGTTTAAATCGGCAAACCGGTGCATATTACAGGTGCTTTAGTTCTTAGCTAAGATTTTATCCAGCTGCCTGCCTCATCACCTATGATACGGATGGCGGACAAAGAAAATATGCGGAAATAAGCGGCGTTACACCAGGTTATGTGCCTGCCTCCTTAGATAGGAAACATGGAGAAACAGATTTCTACTTGATGCAGGTTTTGACGAGACACGGTTATTTTAGAGAGTATCTCTATAAGTTTGGTCGAGTTGTTCCTTTTGCGACAGCAGCGGAGAAAACGCAGTGCACATCTTCTTGTTCTGCCGGCTGGAAAAGGAGAGAATCGATCTAGAGGAATTGACAACGGAACGAGTGACACCGGATAACATAGTGTGGTTTATGACTGAATCAAGGCTAGTGTGGAAAAGCGTGGTGAGCGTGAGTGGTAACTCAGCGAAGATAGAAGAATGAATGAGGAGTTTTACATCTTGTGGGGACTACTTCCCGGTACTTTTTTGTCACAATGTACATCAAAATTTGGGGCTTTTAGGTGTAATTTTGTATATTTGTAAAACTAATTGCAAATTCAAAATGTTTTTTCAATAGCCTACAGTATGATAATTGCTTTCAGGCTGGAAAAATGCAAAAATGTAAAAAAATAGAGACGCGGACTAGAGTTTCAAAAAAACTAAAATGGATAGTAAGAGCAGCTTTTTAGTTTCTGTTAAGCAGCAATAAAATGTCGAAAATTTTACCCATAAAAATTCTAAAATATCAGATATTAATTGTAACTATTTTCGTTTAATAAAAATAATACGTCATATGTGATTAAATGCAGCTCAGCAGCTTTCCAGTTTTTCATACTACACAACAAATTCTCTTCAAGCCTAAAACCCTTTAAAACATACATAACTGCTGTATGCTTATGACATTCCCAAGAATTTTTTTGCCTGCTCTGCATGTATGTGTTATTTATTTACATTTTTTATACAACCAAACATGACTTACCAAACCATTTTTTTTGCCTTTACATTGCCAACTCGTGCGCCAATTACAACGCGCTAGTCACAGCCTCCGACAACTGCCTGTCTGCTTGATTGTCAAACTGACTGTCTGGTCGCAGAAATGCGCATCGCTTAAATTTATAAAAAAACAATGAATTTGCGACAGCAATGAGTTACATTTGTCAAAAGCTCGCGTGTCCGTCACGCCGCTTTTTCACTGAATTTCAAATATTCAATTACTCATACGCCATGGCGTACGGACAATGCCGAGTAGTAGGTATGTATTTATTTATTCATTTRTTATATAAATGGATATACACCACTGCGTGTGTTTTGTTTCGGCAAACTTTTCAGCTTTTTCAACTCACATTTCATATTTTTACTGACAATATTTGCCGCTGATAAAACGTTGCCCTTGGCTTATTTTTGTGTAATAATTTTCAATCATATTTGATTATGATTTTGTGCAACTTTATATTTTTGAATTAGTTGATCTCATTAAATTTGTCGTAATTATGCTTTATTATTGTGTTGCCACTTTATTCACTCTCAATTACTACTGAATTTTTGTAGAATTTTATATATTTTAAATAAATTTTGTTTTGCCGAAATGTTAATTTCTAGGCAAATATTATTTATTGTTGCATAAATCGGTTTTTAGTTTGTTGTTTGGTTTATACCGTTTTTTTTTCTCTGTTTAAGTTATTTGTTTGAATTTTAATTTCACTTCGATTTTCTTATTTGTGTTGTCGAGCTTATTGTGCCCTTTTGTTTTGCATCATTGCCTTTTGCTTGCATTTGCTTTTATAGTTTATTTTATTATTTGTTGCTCTGTTGTTTAGCATCCACATACACTAAAGGTAAACATTTCAGTCGAAGGTAAATATTTTAGCTTTTTCATCACTTTTGATATTTTAATGCATTTTTCATACAATTATTATTTTTTCTTCCTCTGTTTCTCTTTTGTTCTGTTGGTTCGTCATTTTAATTGGCGTTTGGTTTACTTTGCTTTTATGCAGAGATTAGTTTATTTGCATTTTGACGGTAACTAAAGTACGACTAAAGTAAAATATACTTTTTGAATTTAATGGTTTAGCTCTTAAATGTTGCTTGTTATTATAAGAGTTTGTAAATTTGTGGGTCGATGGTTTTTTGATTTTCCGCTGTATTATCTAAATATTCTTCAAGTACACTTGGTAAATCTTACTTTAATGAAGAATCTGGAGTAATAAATCAAGTGGAGTTTTCTCCCACTTGACAGAGGCATAATCAGCAAATAAAGTTTTCTCATTTTTACAATGAAATGGAGAAATCTTTTGCAACGCTGAGGAGTATTGAAATTAATTCTTCCTAACATATAACAACAGTCAATAGCTCCATTAATAACATTTACGATTTCAAGTGATTTAGGTGTAGCAATAAACGAGACTCATAAGACGGTGTGGAGTCAACAAACTTTAAGTAGCGGAGGGAAAATTTAAGAAAAGTCTCCTATCACAGCATACTCCAAGATAGAATGAACATAAAATGCAAACAGTAATTTTAATGGACAGATGTTGATAAATTGGGACGGACAAAGGCAACAAAGACAAAAATTTACACGTAATAGAATTGATGCGACTATTGAAAGAGAGCTGTGTTCAGTGTAAGCTGTGGTTTTTTGGTTTTCAAAATATTTTCAATGTATATCGTATCATAGATATACACCGTTGCAATAGTTTTAACAAACCTTCGAAGCACTTTGCCACTCTGATTGAGATATCTCCAAAACATGCGTTTGAACGTATCAGCCACTTTTTCAGGTACCGAAACCCATTGATCTCTTAGGTTATTTTTTTCATATGGGACTAAAAAGAAGTCATTAGGAGTCTAGACAGGACTACACCGTGAATGACTCATCATAACAATGTTTTAGGAGCTCAAAAAAGCAGTTGTCTTGCACGATGTGTGATAACTCGTATTGTACGTACAGACGTACAGAGTCCGTTGTGGTTTTACGTGAGTTCCTGCCTGCGAAGGCCTAGCCCCACGGTGCTTTCTATTGCTAGAAGCACATAGATCAAAACAATGCGTTGATCAGCGCCCCAAAGCTTAAGTGTATGCACCTGCACCATACTCTGGAGAACCAAAGCATGAGTGCTGCACATACACTTATACTTTGGTTCCAATTGGTTAGGGTGGGACTCCCCTATGATGGGTGGGCCAAACCCAATGAGCAGATTGGAGTTTCCTCCCAGGGCTAACTTCTCCCCGTGCCACCATATTTAAGTCTTTGGTATGACTTTTGTAACTTTTGGCTACTACCAGTTTGAGTCCATAGTAATCCCACTCATGACTGGTGACATTTGTTGCTTGAACAACAAATGCCTTTATATTAGGAATTAATATAAAAACTATAATATCATTAATATTAACTACTAATATTATAGCGCTTATCTGACTTTTAACCATGTTGACATTTAAACAAAGACCTGAAATGTCAGACATAGTGCATTTGGATTTTACGACAGGCATGCCTTACCATGGGTATATTCGGTTTCCTTCCCAACCTGAAGTGGTCCCGCCTACCCGCAGGGGGAACGTACAGACGGACAGACATATAACGAGCTGACTTCAGGGTCTTCAAAATTTCCGCTAAGGTGAGAGAGAATGATCCTCGCTAAGTCAATTCAGTGACGGGCTATCAACGTTCCGCATTTCTCGTTTTTTTTTTTATTAGGGAAGCCCACTACGTTCAAATATTCTTTGACCCTTTTCAACTTGTTATGAATTTATTGTTCTATACATTCTGAAATATTTCGACATGATCAGCTGGTTAGCTTTAAATTGATTATAAGATTTTTAAGTATTTGAAGATATTTTGATACAATTGTCTGCATTGAAGGTAGATGTTTGTGTACTCCCAAAGACAATTTAAAAAACAATACAGTGGATCCCCCACAGACCAAACACCAAGCCATAAGAATGTTTAAGAAATATTCTTGTTTAATTATAAGTACAAAACAATTCCATTTAATTTTGCAATTTATAATTATAAATTTGAGCAAAAATGTAATTATATTTAATATTTCGTAGAGCTTCTAATAAAATTTAGGTACTTTTATGTTCAGCAGATAATTGCGACAACAACATTTGCAAACGCATGCATCTCTCTACAACGAAGCAGTAGAAGCCACTAAGTTGTATTCTCTCTTGATTGAATAGAACACTACACTTGAGGTCATAAACCATTAAATGCACCATTAAATTTTGTGGAAACTGAATAGCGCTTGGTGCTATTTTCTTTGTTAAATGACGCTGAGGGTAGAACGCAATTAGGGAAGAAGCGTGGGAAGCCCATAAAATATAGTATGTTATATGCAGTCAGATACAATGATTCTAAGTATTCATGAGACCATATATACATACAAAAGGACAGTTAAGTGGTGTGAAGAACAAAAAATGTAATGAAAGTAATGATGTTGCCACATCAAAATTAATTTGAGGGGCATTTTTGTGAATATCTTCCACCAAAGTAGACCGATAGGGACAGCAAACGAAGCTTTCCCACTCTTTTGACATTTCTCTTCAGTAAGATTTGCCATTTCATCATGGAAAGATATACGATCCGAAATTTTGAGTCAGAGGTCTCATCATTTTCATCGAAAAATCATCTTCAGCGATGAAGCACATTTTTGGCTAAATGTTTTCGCCAAAAAGCCATATATGCGTTATTGGGCAAGCAACTATCCACACGTATTCCATGATTCCATAATTGGACCGTACTTCTTCCGTGATGATCAAGACCGTGATGTTATTGTGATTGGGAATCGCTGCCGCTCAATGATAACCACAAATTTTTGGCCCGAATTGGATGGTATGGACTTGGGCAATATCTGTTTTTAATAGAATGGCGCCACAAGGCACACAGCGAATGTCGCAATCGATTTATTGAAAACCAAATTGAGTGAATGTGTTACCTCCCGAAGTTTTTGTCAAATGGTTGCCGCATTCGTGCAATTTGGCGCCGTTAGACTTAGAAACCAATTAATTATTTTTTCCTTAAATGGAATAATACTAGTGACGTTAAATTTAAGTAAATTACATTTTGCAATTTGTGGACATAACGTTGTTTTTGCAACGTATTTAATTTCAGAAGGTTTGGCTTGGTTTTTAATTTTTGCATATTGAGATAGATAGATTTTTCAAGAATGTGCTATCAAGTTGATTTCAAGTTGAAACCTGTTAATTGACAAAAGTTATTGGTCGTATAGTGGAATGCTGTCAAGAGCATCGATCCATCACGGCTTACCATAAACGCGTTTTTCTCAAAACCATGATTTTCGGGTTGGTGAAAGTCTTACAACGCGCAAAAATTGAACAAATGAAATAAAATTGTTTAAATATGCACATCAGGAGCTTATACTGATMCAAGAATTTGCAAAAAYTTTTGAAAATTGTTCGATTGAAAAAAAAAAATTATAAAAACTGGCAGCAAAAATGGCCACAACGTGATTGTTTTTTTTTTTTTGTGTTTTTTTTTGTTCAAAAGTGCATAATTTTTGCTTATTTATTTCTTCTTTTTCCTAGTCGTATCACGGATTACAAAAATCGTACAGATTAAGGAAATAATTTTCGTATGCGTTTCAAATTTTATTTACGAATGCCACCACTTCCGCTATGAGGACCAGTCGCCGCCAACCTGCCGCCATTGTTCGGTACCCGCTTCAATAAATTTTTTTTCGAAAATTGTGCGACAAATTTGGTCTTTTATCTTTTATACTTTTCAAGAAAAAAATTCCAGAAAAAGCGCAGATTTTCGAGCTAACAAGGTGGAAACTTCTTAAATGGGATAAACTGTACAATTTTCTAATTTTTTAATAATTTTAATTTAACTCAGAACTAAGGACATTTGTGTATGTGTAGGAAGCAAAGTAAATGAAGAAAACATTGTTAAGCTCAAAGTAGCAATTGTCAATTCATGGATCATATCATTTTCGAAATTTTTAAAATCATCAATTTTTGGTTTGGTAAAATTTTTGACAGAATAAACTTAAAGAAAAGATTAGTGACAGAAATT